GGTCACCGTAGAGGTGAAGGTCCGAATTCAGAGCCGCTGATTTCCGGTTTTGGCAGTCTTCAAGGACCCGGCCTTGTTAGACCGGCGAGGACCCGTACTCGTAAGCATCCTGCCTGTGGATTCGGACACACCCCTAATCTTTAGCATAGCTTTTAGTGTTATAAATACTTATTTAGTGTTAGCTTGGCTGTTGGATATTGTAGTTTAGTTAGTGTTTAGCTGTTAGTGTTATTAGGAAAGTAGTTTGGGTTTAGTGTTCCATGTCGTGTTAGTATGGTAAAAAGGTGTAGTGTAGTGGGTTCGGTGGCTCTGTGGGGTTGCACTCCTTTCCGCTGGACTTAGAAATTAGGCGCCAGTGATTGCGCGCAATCGGTGTCTGGAAAACAGTCAGCTCCCGCCTGGTGCTGTAGTTTGCAACCAGCATTTTACCCGCAATTCTGCATGTCTCCGTTTGAAGAGGGAGGCCGTGCCCACCGTGGCTCTTCCGCGATTTAGATGCAGCCCACCGACTTTGCTCCCCCACCATGGCGGGCTCCAGTCTGAGGTGAGCAAGCTAAATAAAAATTTTAACATCTTCTAAAGACAATTCCCTACCTAAATGCAAAGTTTGAGGGATGTGGTTCACTTAATTTAGCTAATATCAGTCTGCACTGCCTTTGGGCAGATTTGTCAAGTTCACAAAATGTGGAACGGGATGTAAGGTTAGAATCAGCGGCGAATCGGAACATATCTCGAAGCCCTGGCCGACAAAACGGTCCACATGACTGTCAGGCTTGGAGAAAATTCGGGTTGTTTTTGTGTCAGTCGGTAATTCTGCTAACAGTGACTCTAACTAACGCAGCACTAGTTGACAGACATCATTACAGCGGGACCCGGTTCTGTGAGGAATTCTGTTCAGGAGGTCGCATTTCCATAGGCGTCATTTTAACCGGGGACGCCGGGGACATGTCCCCGGCAAAATTTGTGATTGGCAGCTGTGTCCCCCCCCACTTTAAAAAAAGCCTGCTGATGAGGATTTTTGTTTTACCAGCTCAGATCTTATACCAGGGGTCGGCAACCTGTTCCCATCAAAGAGCCATTATTACCCGTTTCCCACAGTAAAGAAAACACTGGGAGCCACAGCGGCCGCAGCGTTGTGGGCGGGGCCTACCCTCAGACAGCAGAGCGCTGCTCACAACATGACAGCAGCCGGTACCAGTCGCTCGCATGGGCGTCGCACCCGTGGGGGATTCAACGCCCACACTTTTCCAGCTGTTTTGCTCACCTCCGCACCAGTCTGGTTTCTTTACGTCGCACTCACTCTGTTTGCCTCATCTCCTTCTTCACCTCCCTCTTCTGACAGCCGATGTCGGGTTTCCAGGAGAGCAGGAGAGGGAGGGACGGAAGAGCTCGACTGAATTCATAATTTTACATCTTGACATTAGCTGTACAAAGTGTGAGTTTGATAAAGTGAAGAACAACAATTTGCAGAGGTTTATAACAGGCACAGCGCCAGGTTTTCATTTTTGGGTGGGCCACGGTAATTCTGGACGGACCTTAATAAGCAGCGACTTCAGTGAAGCAGGCAGGTCACGCTAGAAAATTTAGTTTAAAAAGACGTCATAAATGTTTTCCCCCGTCATTTTTATTTATAAAATATGAAGTAAAAACTCACAATTTAATTTTCATTGATTTGTCATTAATATGTAGTCTACACCCGTGCGTTAAGTGGACCATCTTCCAGTAAAAACAAAGCTTCCAGCCAACCTCTCCAAATGCGTAAAATGTGCATCAGCCGCTAGTTAGGTGCGCCGCGTGCACCGTCAGCCCAGACAAGAGCAGAGCAAATAGAGAAAAAATAGAGGATAATTGTGTCTGGATGTGGATGGAGATTACATTTTACAGCAGCCTGATCATCATTTAAATACGTAACCCATCACCTGTCTTCTAGTCCATGCTATCAGCATTATTTTAATTGGTTTGTGTGTGCGTGTGTGTGTGTGTGTGTGTGTGTGTGTGTGTGTGTGTGTGTGTTTTCCACTTCAAACACTGGTCTAACCAACCAGACCAGCGTGTCCAGTAACACATTAATGTTACAATTAAACAGTTTCACTTCATGTAGGCTAGGAACGTTTCACCTGCCGTGGCCCGACCGCTTCTGCTCCATATAAACTTTGTGCGTGATCCAGGGACGAAATTTTGATTTCAGAAGTGGGGGGGACACAGCAGGCTTGTGCAGATTTGGGGTGGGGGGTGTTATGTAAAGACCCCTTGACACGTCACGTGCCCATCTCAATAATTTTTCCATCCTTATTGAAGTGCAGTTTTGGCTGTTGACAATGGATAGGCCATTGTGTTTATTGTTTTGGGTCTTTTTTTATTGTTTTTGGTGCAACATTTTCTAACAGGGAGTGAGATTCCTTTTTTATTAAATTTTTGTTTGTTATTTTTATTCATTTAGAAGTTCTGGTTCTGGACATTTCAATGTTAAATGAAGGTTCATTTGTTGCATTTTAAAGGGTGTACTTGCATTATTATGATATATTAACATTATATTAGTGGTTATTTTGGTCTAGATAATGTTGACAATGATATCGTTTATCATCAACAATTTGTTGGACAAAATATCGTCCAGCAAAATGTGCTACTTTCCCAGGCCTAGTCAAAAGTATAAAAATTATTTATACATAAACGGTCCCTCCTGAGATCTGGCCGTTTGTTCATTTGCTGTGTTAGAGGACATGCTGAACTAATGTTTTACACATGATCATCACCCTAACATTTGAGTGTATAAAAACATATTAAATATGTTTTTTCCCTTAAAAGTGTTTAAACAGTTGTTGCATTTCAACACACAAAAAATAAATGGAAAAAATAAGATAAATCTAATGAAAAGTGTACATCTTTGACATTAAGCTTAAAAAATCTGTTGACGATGATGATACTGTTCATTTTTCAGAGCTTTTTAATGTGAAAATATGCATTGCAATAGATAAGTTTACAATAAAGTTAAATGATAAAAGTTTTGAAGTTACACTTCTACTACTACTAGTAATAATAATTATGATGATAATAGTAATAATAAAAATAATAATAATTATAATAATACGAATAAATTGGGTCTGAGGAGTCAGTTATGTGGAGGAGATGAGTTTGTAAAAGTTAGTTTTGAGTATGTTTGTGAAGGAGGAGGTGAGTCTGAGCTTAATGCAGGGGTGTCACATGTTCCAACTTACGTTTTGACTTTGAAAGAAGTCTCTTCTATCCACTTTTCGTTTTCTTGACATGCTGCCTCCTGGCTGTGCCTAACTACCAAAGACTCACAAATGAACACTTATTCAAATGTTATGTAATGGAAGCTGAGATGAGCTCTGATATTACACAGCGTCTAGTTGACGATGTGACTCAGTACCGGTGTTCCCTAGCGGCTCCAAACTAGCAAAACAACGTGAGCATGTTCTGACTGTTTACAACTTGAGTGACAGCAGCAACAGCCAATAATACGTTAGCAAGTATCAGCAGAGCCAATAGATTAGCTTTTGGGCGGGTCTAATAGTAAACCGGTTTCCGTTTCGGTCCTAGTGCTCAACCAAATCCATTTAATGGAGCGTAACATTGTTTTTGGACGGAAAAAAGTGCAGGGGACCAAAACTGCCTTTTGAAAAAGTGGGGGGGACATGTCCCACCCGTCCCCCCCCAAAATTACGTCCCAGGCGTGATCAAATGTCTCTACGCATCATGCGTCTCCATATTAGAGACGGGAACAAGCGCTGTTCAGCCAAAGTTTCATAATTTCATAAAAAGAACATTTTTCCAGGTGACACATCCCTCAGAGAGACCGGGTTTCCAGAACGCTTCAGTGGGAGGAAATCGTATCGCATGCACCGGGGTTCTGCGCTGCGAATCCCTCTACAGATCTTCAGCTCACTGTCCACCGTGGGCACTCCGAGCCGCTCTGAACACAGTGTCCAGTATAAAGCTCTGATGTTCTGATGGGAATCAAGTTACCTCTGCGATGTGCGTATTAAAATGTCAGCTCATCCATGCGCATCAGTGTGCGTCGGGGTAATTCTTTCAAAACAACCAACATCCTTGAGTTTATCCGTCAATATGTGGCAAGATGGATAAATGAGGGCCCGGGCGGGATTCGATCCCCAGACTACCGGGTGAGAGTCATATGCTCTAACCAGTCAGCCAAAGGGACATTCTGTTAGCCAAGTAGCCAGGGCGCATCATCTATCGGGACACTGTGACAGGACACTCACACTGCCACACCTGATTATGAAACTTTGGCTGAATAGTGCTTGTTCCTGTCTCCAATGTGGCGACGCATCCAGGAACCTGTCTGAGGAGAAGCCCAGAATCTGACATCCTTCAGCTCAGGAAGCGCCTATGATTACGCACAAGCGTGACGCGTCAACCCGGTCTCACAGTAAGACTGGGTTGGACCTGTTCAGGTTTACGCAGACAATCTTTACATTTAGAATTGGCATACAGATGTAAAATTAATGCAGTAAAATATAAAGCTTTTTATTTAAATATCCATTCATTATTTTACAAGCAAAGAGAGCGCATCAGATGGATGGAAGAGCCGCATGCGGCTACAGAGCCGCCGACACCTACTTTATTCTCCCCAGCAATTTTTAAACCCCACTCAAGTGTATGGTTATTGTCCCCAGCAATTCTGAAAACAAACTGACGCCCTTGCGCATTTCACATCATATGTGACTGACTTTTACGTTATAACAACGATCACACACTAGGAATGTTATAAAGCGCCTATATAGGACAGTTTATTTTGTATATTATCTGACTTTATAAACTGCAACAACAATGTGCTTCTATTTTTTTTTTTCAGGCTAAATCTACCCAAGACACTGGCTGTCAGACTGATTCAGTAGTCTGCAAGAATGCACTCGTCCAGGCAGACGTGAAGCCTTACCTGTAGCAAAGGTGAACTATTTTTAATAATCTTCTATGTAAACATTTTATTATCACCTTCTAGTTTTAATTTGTTTTACAGATTATTGTTACACGTGATTTTATGCTCTTTTAAACATTTATAAATGTGCTGCTTCTTTGTTTTTTACATAGCCACCCAGAATAGAGCTCCCAGCCTCAGTGTGTCTGGTGACACCGGGACCATGACGGAAATTCATCTTCCAGAAAGTCCCAGTGCAGCGTCCACACCCCTGAAAAGACCAAGATGTGAGGTGTCTGCTGTTGATTCCAGCTTCCACCTCAGTGACAGTGCAAGCTCAGTGAACTGTTCAAGGTAAAAAATTTTTAAACATTTCAGAATTTTTAAGATATTAACAATTAAATAAGTATGTGATTACATCATAACATCATGAAGGAGGCTACTGATTCTGGCCCTGTGACACTTGGTGGTGACGTGTGAGCTGATTCACCTGGTAAATAACTTTTACATTAAATATTTTGTTCTTTGCTATCAAAAGTAAATTAACTAATAACCTGCATTATTGCAGGACACTCAGCAAAATATGGACTCCACACCATGAGGCAGGCACACGTTAATACTCTATAAGAGCACATAAGGTGAGCAACACCACAGATTATTGTTTTTGCTGTACAATGTCCTGGATTTGTTTTCTTTCTGCATCTAATCATTAGCCTGGCTGATCACCTGATAACTCCTGTCATCTGGTTATGACAGCATGAGGATGTCCTCACACACCTGTAACCTATCAGCTCATCTGGCAGAATAGAGAGAAGAGACAACACCACATCTCCTGTTCCTGGAAAGCCTTCAGCCATCCTTCAGTGACTAAGAACCTTCATCAGCTCTGTCTCCTGTCTGCCTACAATTATAATAAATATTGTGTTTGACAAGTTTTTTGTGCTGCCAAATGTCTCATTTTGATTCCAGTTTTGATATTTTAATGGATATTTATAAATTACATTAATTGAATTATCACATTGTTGCATGTTTAACTAGCTCTATTGTGATGAATTAAACTAGCACCTCACTGTTAAAAGCTCGTTTTAATTTCAAGCATGTTTAAGTATTTATGGACATGAACAGGGAATATATAAATTGAGATTTATTTAATTAATATAACAAATAACTGTTCAGAGGAAAGAGTCATTGAAAGGCACATTCTTCTGGAAGCTCCTGATCCTGACCACACCAGCAGAGACCACCTGCAGACACCAGAGGATCACCTACGACCAAGAGAGCAGCTGGTATTAGTGAATAAATAATGAAATCAGGGCAATTTTAGAGGGCTGTTTGGGATTGTGTAACATAAATGAACACATTACAGAATAATTTTCTCATGGGGTATTTTCATAACTTTCTATGCAGCAGACTGTAACTTGAGCCCAGGGCTCCTGGAGAGCTGCTATCCAGCATGTTTCAGTGGTTTTCCTGCTTTAACAGGTTAGATTAGCTGTTAAGCAGCTCAGCTATTTGTTGCTGATTAAAACCAGGTGTGTTGAAGCAGATAAACCTCTAAAACATGCTGAATACTAGCTCTCTAGGACCGTGGAGCCAAACCCTGCAGCTAATCTACTGCTATGGCTAACGGCTATTTACCATTCAGAGCTGGTTCTGTTGGGTCGGTTCCGGTAGTTTCAGGCAACTCACAAGCTCAAAACAAGGCTCAGGTCCGCTTGTCTCCTCCAAACAGACTTGGTTCCTTTCTTCTCGAGTGTCTGGGTAAGGAGGGAGAGAAACGTCCTCCACTTCTAATGACTGCTCAGAGTGAAGGGAGCTAGCGTCGTCTTGTTACCCATCGTCTTCGTCGCTGCCGCGGCTCAACCCTCTCGGTCCGCCAGGCAACGCCTGCTAATGTTGCAGTTTTTAAAATTGATATGTGGGTGGAGAAGGACTCTGAGGCACACTTTACCTGCTCTTTAAAATAACGTTTTGATGTAAACCACACCCACTTCCGGTTAAACTACACCCACATCCGGGTTAGGCGATGCCCACTCCAAGTACAGATACAGATACAGATAATTTAGATGGTTGAACACATACAGATACAAATACAGATATTGGTGTACTCGCTCATCCCTAACCCTAACCCTGTCGGAAAAGACGAGGATGCTGTTACAAATGCTGGAATGCCATGTTATAAACAGTAATTTCTACTTCTACTATGGTGTAGTGTTGGATGCATGCTGTAGAGCTCCATGCTGCCCCATTCAGTTTGGGAGAATATTGGCTCACTGCAGAGACAAGCCGCATGAACCATAAACGCTGCAAGTTGTGAAGCGCGGTCCATCCGCGAGCCGCTTCACCAAGCGTAAAGTGAATGCGTCAAGCATAAAACAAGCTTAACCCACCCATTCTGAGGTCCTGAGCACTCCGGAGAAAATTCTTGTCCAGGATATTGTTGAATTTGGCCACGCTCATTGTTCCCTTGATCGCAACCAGTTGTCCTGTGCTTGCAGCTGAAAAACATCTCCACAGATGCTGCCACCGCCATGCTTCATTGTGGGGACTGTATCGGACAAGTGATGAGCAGTGCCTGGTTTTATCCACACATACAGCTTAGAATTAAGGCCATAAAGTTCTATCTTGTCTCATCAGACCCGAGAATCTTATTTCTCACCATCTCGGGGTCCTTCAGATGTCTTTTAGCATCTCCATGAGGGCTTTCATGTGCCTTGCACTGAGGAGAGGTTTTTGACGGGCCACTCTGCCATAAAGCCCTGGCTGGTGGAGGGCTGCAGTGATGGTTGACTTTCTACAACTTTTTCCCATCTCCTGACTGCATTTCTAGAGCTCAGCCACAGTGATCTTTGGGTTCTTCTTTACTTCTCACCAAAGCTCTTGTCCCACAGTAGCTCAGTTTGGCCAGACAGCCTGCTCTAGGAAGGGTTCTGGTCGTCCCGAACATCTTCCATGTGAGGATTATAGAGGCCACTGTGCTCTTATGAACCTTAAGTGCAGCATATTTTTTGTGTAACCTTGGACAGATCTGTGCCTTACCACAATTCAGTCTCTGAGCTCTTTAGTTCCTTTGACCTCATGATTCTCACTTGCTCTGACATGCATTTGAGCTGTAACGTCATGGCTTTCTTAATCAAGTCCAATCAATATAATCAAACACAGCTGGACCCCAATGAAGGTTTAGGACCATCTCAAGGATGATCAGAAGAAATGGAAAGCAGTGACAGTGTGTATTTTAATCGGCAATAGGGGGCAGTATACTTAAATCATTACAAGCAAGCATTATTTTTTGTGTTCAAGTAAGACCTTACCAACGGATGACCATTAGGGTCAAAAATCCTTGGGAGTGCAACCTCCAGTAAAACAACACGAACATCAGATTTCCTTTCATCACTTGCAATGAGTGAAGAGGTAAATGTGTAAAACAATGTTTTTTCATGCAGAAAGTTTTGTAACCATTTGTTACAAATCAGTAAATGCATTCTGTCCACATGGGTTTCCTTAGAAGAAAACATGGCATCCAATACGGCATCACCCAGAGATTTAGACCCGCTCCCATGTATTTTAGACCCAGTTTTTATGGTTATGTTATGAAACCACCAATATTTTTCAACAACTGGGTATCTTTTAATTAATTTACAACATTTCAATGACATTTTCTGAGATTAATGGTAAAAACTACACATTTTCACTTTAAATATATGAGTGTCACAGCAAAGGGTCTGAATAATTAGGAAAAAGTGACATTTCAGTTTTTCATTTTGTTATGAATCAGCATAAATTTCTAAAATTCTGTGTTTTTATGTCAATATGGGTTGCTGTGTGTACATTAATAAGGACAAAATTAATTGAATTAATTTTAGAAAAGGGTTAGGGTTGGCTGTAATATTACATTGAAAGAGTAAAAAATTGATGGGTGTCTGAATACTTTCCGTACCCACTGAGCATAAACAACCCACAGAGTTAAAAGCCAGATCATAAAAATAGGTAAGTAGGATTTACTTGTAATTATACGGTTATTTACAAGGACAGGAAGTAGTAAATTGTAGCACCATAGCCTGGTGCATGCAGTGATCAAATCAGAAACATCTTAATTTTTTTTGCCCTATCAATAGTATAAAACAGGTTTATTTGTGTGATATTGCCAGGGGCGTGTCCAGGGAGTGGCCTGGGGTAGCAAATGCCACTCTTGGAATCTGATTCCGGAACTGCGCTGCTTTGGGTGGCTGCATGTTGGAGTAGCTCTGTTGACTATGTGTAAGTTTAGCCTTTTCTTGGACATTTTTTCTTCTAGTTTCTCAAGAAAAACAGTTTTTTTTTACATTTTACTTTTCTGTTTCTGGTGATGTGAAGCTTGAAGGATTTTTACTGCTGTTTTTTTAACTTTTTTCACTTTTTGAGCATTTGCTATGATGTGTAACCATGGCAACAAGCTGGTTTACAATTGGGAGCAGCTAATTAACATTGAAGCCACAAATTCTAAATGATCTACAACGCAAGAAGCGTGGGTGCAGAGCGGGATCAAAGACGGAGACAGAGAAAAAGGAAATTCAAACCATTTCTTCCATCAACCATAATGGGCAATGTGAGATCACTGGCTAACAAGATGGAGGAACTCGAAGCTCTTGCAAGGACTCAGCCAGAGTTTCGGCAGTGCAGTGTTATGTGTTTCACCGAGACGTGGCTGCAGGACCATATCCCCGGTTCCAGCGTCTCTCTGCCAAGATGCTTGACTGTACGAGCAGACAGAGATCTGAAGAGGAGCGGGAAAAGAAAAGGAGGTGGAGTGGCAGTGCTTGTCAACAACAGATGGTGCCATCCAGGTCATGTTTCAGTGAAATGTCGTCTCTGCAGCCCAGATGTTGAACTCTTGGCAGTAAGTTGTCACCCATATTATTTGCCAAGAGAGTTCACCAGTGTTGTCTTGGCAACCATTTATATTCCACATTCAGCCATTGCTGAAAATGCATGTGATGCCATCAGTTCTGCTGTTGCTAAGCTACAAACCCAGCACCCCAATGCATTTGTCGCTTTATCTGGTGATTTTAATAATGCCTAACTCTCTGCTACACTTCCAACATTTAAACAGTTTGTCAGCTGCTCCACCAGAGAAAACAAGACATTGGATTTGTGTTATGCAAATGTAAAGGATGCATACATGTCCAAAACACGACCTCCTCTGGGACAATCAGATCACAATCTTGTTTTTCTCTGCTCAAAATACAAACCACTTGTTCAGAGGCAACCTGTGACAAGAAGAACTATTAGAAAATGGTCACAGGATGCTGAAGAAGCCCTGCATGGTTGTTTTGAGACCACAGATTGGATGACTCTCTACCAAGGATATGAAGAGGACATCAATGCCATGACTGGATGTGTCACTGACTATATAAACTTCGGTGTGTACAACATCATACCCACCAGAACAGTGAAATGCTTAGCTAGTAACAAACCCTGGATCACCAGTGAACTGAAGAATCTGCTAAATGAAAAAAAAAAAGAGCCGCCAAGAAGGGAGACAGGGAATTATTGAGGAGTATACAGAAGCAACTGAAGATCAAGATCAGAGACAGCAAGGAGGCATACAGGAAGAAGCTGGAGAACAAACTACAGAGGAACAATATCAGAGATGTCTGGTCAGGGATGAAGAAGATCACAGGCTTCAAGCAGAGGAAGGATTGCACAGATGGCAGCCTGGACACAGCCAATGAACTGAACAAGTTCTTCAATAGGTTCAGTTCAGGAACAAACCCAGCATCCTCCTCGCCTGTCCCCAGCCAATCAGACATCTCATCCTCCTCTGATCCAACATTTTCCTGTCACACACCAGCTCTTTTGTCCTCTAACGCAGTC